GGCCTTATTGATCCTTGTGAAGCTCAAGAACGTCCAAGGGGAGCAGAGGAGGCTGCTGCTCTGCATCTGGTGACTGTCTGGTGGTCAGCAGCCTTTCTTCCCTCTCAGGGCTCGGGTGACTCTGCCAAAGCCATTCCCACTGGGGAGGTGGAGGAGCTGGAGTGTGGGCTGGTGCTCAGCAGCATTGGCTACCGGAGCCTGCCCCTGGACCCAGCGCTGCCCTTCGACGCCGAGCGTGGCGTGATCCCCAACAGCTCGGGCAGAGTGGAGGGTGTCCCAGGTCCGTGTCCACGGGGGGATGTGGGGTGTGGCGAGCATGGCTGGTGGTTCGGGGGCTTTGGGGTGGGAAGCTCCATTCAGCAGGGCACTGGCACAAGGCAGCCACGCCTCAGTCAGAGAGTGGAGACTGGAACTGAGCTGCCTCTGTCAGGCAGCGAGACCTGGCCCGTGCCCAGCTCATGTTAGGGGTGTCTGGTGTGGCCACAAAGAGCACTGGTGGTTGTGGTGGCTCTCCTGGGCCTCGGAGACTGTTACTGAGGCAATACAGCTGCTTGCTGCCTGTCTGCAGACACGCAGACTCCTGGGACAGCACTGTTGTGTTGTTCCCACCTCGGGTGGATTCTTCCACTGCCCACAGCTTGATGTAGCCGCCCAGGGCCAGGGCAAGGACTTGCAGCCAGGAGGGTCTGTGGCCACGTGCCAGACCGAGCCTGGCTGCTGTGTGCAGGGCTGTACTGCAGCGGGTGGGTGAAGAGAGGACCCACGGGCGTCATCGTCACCACCATGAACGACAGCTTCGACACTGCCCAGGCTGTGCTGGAGGATCTCCAGGTGGGCGTGCTGGACGTGTCCACCTCCAGAGAAGGTTTTGGGGCCGTGCAGAGCATCCTGCACAACCGAGGTCAGTGTGTGTGTGGGTGAGCTGCCGTGACAGCCAGCGTGAAGGGATGATGCAGCCAAACTCCTCCTGGGTTGGGGTATCCTGGGGCAGCGAGTCCCACAGGCTACTTTTTGGGAGCAGGGTTTGAACCAAGGAAATGCGTTGTGCTGCTTTTTTGCTACTCCAAAGCCCAGGGAGAGCAGGACTTGAATTCCCTCAATCTCAGTGTGATTGCTAAGGTTAACGACCACTTTCTGGCAAGGGCCATTAAAAGCAGCACGGCCGTGGGTGAAGTGTTGCTGTCAGCTGCCTAGACAGCGAGCTGTTGCTCTTGAGTGGTTTTCCTAGCAATCCTTCCAGGCAAGTTGGAGGGAAGATTAAAATGCCCAAGAGAGTAATTTGCTGTTGCTGTGTTTAAAAGCATTCAATTAAAGTGTGTGTGTTTTGCCTCTTAACTGCCTGAGGTTTAGCAGTGGACTGGAAGCATTTTGTCCCCCAAGGTGATGCCGTGCTTTACCATTGTTACAGCTGGCAAAGGTCTGATCCGAGTCGACTGGAACCTGCCACCCCTCTCCTCGTGGTGTTGGGAATTATTCTTGCCTTGTGAGGCTGAAGTCTGATGCTGTGTTGAAAAAGGCAGTGTTTGCTGGCACATCAGGTCCCTGTGAACGGGGAGGTGTGGCTGAACTCCCTTTCCCTTGGTTAACATCTCTCTCCTGTCTCTCACGGTCACCCCAGGAGTCCGTCCCGTCTCCTTCTCGGACTGGGAGAAGATAGATGCTGCTGAAGTGGCGAGAGGCAAAGCTGCTGGCAAGCCACGGGAGAAGATCGTGGATCCTCAGGAGATGCTGCGGCTGGTCGGTCACTAAGGCAGCAGCAATGGAAACGTGGCACTGGGCCAGCTGGCAATGCCCACGGGCTACAGACAGGGCTTGGGAGCACAGAGCTTGTGCCTGGGGCTGCTGGCTGCTCTGGAGAGGTCTGTGACACTTGAGCCTCTCCAGAAACTATGAACTCTGGGTTCTCAAAGTGAATGTCTCGACACCTCAGAGGCTGCCGGCGCGG